GACCAATGTCCAGAGGCGACACTGAACACGGAGCACTTCCACAAGAGCCACTTCCTCCTCCTTCCCCTTTTCATTCTGTCCAGGCTACAAGCCTGTGGGCTGGTGCCACCCACATCCAGGGGTGGTCTTCCCTCCTTGGCTTGCAGCATGTCAGTCATCTACAGACACGCCCAGAGCTTGCTTATCTGCTAGGCAGTGCTGACTCACTTTCAGTGGATAAGTCACAGTGAATAAGCACACACCTCACTTATACCTGCACCCCATGGTGTGCCTACCACCATTCCCTTCTCTTTGCTACACATACCTCAGTCATGATGTAGTGGAAACCCTGTTTTTGTGCACAGGGGATTTTAGAAAATGTAGAACTCATGAATTCTTTTTCTTGAAGGTTCTACTTAATTATCAAGTAGATCTTCCAGTTTCAAAGTATAACATTTAAATAAGTGTGCAAGATTAAACAACATGTAGGAAACCACATCCTCATCTGAGTTCAGACTCAGGTGGTTACCTCCTCTCTACCGTGTTTGTTAAAATATTACCTTTCAGGTCTGCTTCCATAACTTCTGGATCAATTATGATTCTTTGGTTATGTTAGAAGCAGTAGGAAGGAGTACTGGAGAAGTTCTGTGAAAAGAACTTAGTGGAAGGATCTGATCCCTTGAAGATCTGAGGGAAACCCTGCACACCAAAGACTCAGGAGCAGGATGCAGGTCTGAATCACCTGAACTCATGGCCAGTGTCCCATCACCAGTCTCGGGGGACTCAGCTCTAACTTCGCTGCTGGACACATCACTCTATCCAAGATCATGTTCCCAGACAGGGGTGGCCTCCTTGGTGTTGTGGGGCCACCTGCTCACTGAGGTGTCCATACAATTTTCCATGCCTGTCTCCTCTCCCTGCACTGCCCAACCCAATGGCTGCTTGGGTACACTGCAACGTGTGTCCTTCCAGCCCCCAGCCTGTGGGTAAACAGACACACATCTAGGTCATCTGATCACCGCTGTGCCTGGGCCTGGTCGAGGGCTCCACCTGCACATGGCTCATCACTCCTCCCTAGGGTCCAGGGACGCCAGCGGGAAGCCCAGAGTGCTCTCCTTCTGGCCCCCACTCAAAGGGCAAAGGACCACGGGCTAGAGCCTCCCACTGCCAGGGCAGCCAGGCCCACTCGCAGTTCCTGGGTCAGTGCCTCTCCAGGCCCACACCTACGTCCTCCCTGGAGGACCCTGCCTCCTGGACGTCCAGGTCACACACTGTCCCCTGCTGGATGCACAGGACAAGCAGCTCCTCGGTCCCCCTTGCAGCCCTGTCCAGGCCATGCAGGGGACACATGGGGTACACTCCCTCAGTCTGTCCTGTCTGCAGCTCCTGAGACTTTGGAGGTCAGAAGTCCAAACTGTGCAGGATGGGCTGGTGGGGAACAGGCTTACCTCGCCTGAAACAGCCCTTTCTGAAGCACTGACCTCGTTTCTTCTGTCTTATTTTCCTGTTTTCCTTATTTCAGTTATTACCTGCACATGTAGGGTTTAACCTTTCCCATGTGCTCCTGAGCCAGACACATCATTGTGAAGGCCTCACCAGAGTCTATCAGGCTGACTGCATCTTAATCCACTTCCATAATCTACTGTTGGGTGTTTATGCTTTTTTTTTGTTTATGCTTTTTATATTACAAATAATTCAGTTCAATTTAGGCATTTAAAATACTGTTATGTTGTTGTACGTTCTCAACAACAGACTCACAGGGCCTAGGAGCCTGGCCCAGAAGGCTCTGCCCTTAGCCTCCGCCAGCCACAGAGAGGCGCCCTTCCTTCACTTTAGCCTGGCAACACCAAGGAGAAGGAGTTTTAAAAGATTTAATGAGAAAAATATTCTACTTGAAGCAAATCTCGACTCCTTTTATTTCTTGTGAGTTTTAGGATTTCCCACTTATTTGTTTGCTTGCAGAAGTTCTTAACTCGTGGCCATCATAGTTTAATGGTATATCACTCCATTCTACATATTACACTTTTTCTTTTTGTCTTTTGGAGACAGGCTCTTGCTGTGCAGTCCAGGCTGGCTTTGAGCTCACTATGTGGCCAAGGCTGATCTCGAACTTGCAACAATCCTGCCCAGCCTCCTCATGCTGGGATTGCAGGCGTGCACCACCATTGCCTGGCAAGGTGTGGTATTCCTGAAACCCACCAAACAGATTACGCAAATCAGTGAACCACGCGTGGTGTGGATGCCCCTAATGAGAGAGCAGGCAGAAATGCAGGATGTACAAGGAGCAGTCAGAGCCCTCAGCTCGCTCAGGAAAGCAGAGTGAACACCACAGGCATAATGGGGGCTCTGAGGTCAGCTCTAAGAAAAATTTTTTCTTTCCAGGAAAACACTCCCAAATTGGTCTGTTAAAGGTAAAAGTACAAAATGACAAAAATCAGAACAATTTTCATAATGAAGCAACGAATTACAAAGTCAGTTTGTTCCCAAGAAAAATAGGATGTAATCCTTGAAGCAACACCGCTGGCAAGAGCACTGCCGATATGCACGGGCCGGGCGCACTCTGCGCTTCAGCAACCAGCATCTGTCCTTGCTCTGATGTTGGAATGAGTTCAGTCAATAAGCTGTCAGGAAGACATATTTGTGCATGACAAAATGACAAAGGAATGACTCAGTAATTTCTGTTTGCTAGATAGCTTCCAAAATAAGTCATCCTTCATTCATTCTATCATAAATTCTTCTGATGCTTGCTAACCTCCCAAGGCTACAATTCTAATCAGACAACAGAAATGCACTGGAACGCACAATGTGCAGGCCGCTGGAGAGCTAGCCACATGGCTACAGCTGCAGCTACAGCCACCGAAAGGAAGTTAGAAGACTCTCAAAATCAGACAGGGGAGTTGGCTCAGTGGAATGAGCGCTTCCCTGGCAAGTGCAAGGACCTGAGTTCAATCCCGGTTCTGCAAAAAAAAAAATCAGACAGAGCATCCTGCTGACCGTTTCACTGAGGTGAAGAGAAGACGCTGAAGCTGCAGACAGCCCTGCGGCAGCACTGCCTACGGCTCTGCAGGCCGCGTTCCTCATCCTGGTACTGACTTGGGGGCGCCCTGCAGACACCCGGGCTGTGCCACAGCTGGGCACGCCCCATGCTGTGCACTGCCATGCCCAGCGCCAGCCCCCTAGTCTTCTGGGATGAGAATTGTTGCCACTATAATGAGGCACGGTGCACAGCCCCTCAAAACAGACACACAGAGGAGCCACTGAATAAACAGTGAAGAATGAAATGAAGGCAGCGAAAGTGGGTGAGTTTATGTCCCGAAGGGACATGTGCAGTGGGTAGCCCAGAGTGAAACGCAGCTCTGCCTGCGGCTGTGTGCGGCTGCAGTGAACGATTTCATCAACTGCATGCACGTGCACACGCACACACATACGCACGCACGCGCGCGCGCACGCTCACGTGAGGGCTCTGGGCACCGCCCCGTCCTCCTGCTCAGCCTCCGAGCTTTTCATACTAGGATCTTGGCTGTGTGAGGAGAGGAAGCAGCAGGGTCCTGGCCACAGCACCCTCCACAGCAGAGGCCAGTGCGGCACGATGGTGCCCAGCAGATGCCTGAGCCAGTGTGGTGTGAGACTCGCCTACCTGTGGATGCCGAAGCGCGATGGCAGCCACGTGTCTCGCCCTCTCCACCGCACCTCCTCCCTGCCCTGTTTCTCTCTTCACTCCTTGCCTGGGCTCCCTGTCCACCAGTTTCAGGGTCCATGGGCACTGCTGTGTCCCTGGCTCCCGGGCCTGGGCCACCTCCCATGTCCACAGTCTCCACATTGCTTCCAAATTTCAACTGCTTCCCGACACAGCCCTTTGTCCTCTCCCTGACTCACTCTGTCAAGGCCCCTCAGTGACAGCCCCTCCGCTTCCCCAGCTTTGCTAACCCCCACGCTTTCCTGCTGCCCAGTCCATGGCCCCTCCACCTCAACCTCCTTCATTATTCCCATGTCCTAACCCTGTACCCCACTGGCTCATCTCAGAGCACTGAATGACCCCAACGGGATGCAACCCATTCTCCATGCATCAGCTGAGTGTGGCTGGAGCAAACCTTACAGGAACCAGAAAGCAAGCAAACACCTGACTAGTTCCCAGGACCTGGTGGCTCCTAGCTCTGGTTTCCACTGAGTGTCTGCGTCCAGTCTGGGCCATTCTTCCACAGCTGACCTTCATGTCAGTGCCTGACCTTGTCCGGCTTTGCAGAGCAGCCATCCCTCCACACGCATACCCTGGGCCTCATCTGAGGGTCTCCCTCTGGCGGAACGGCACAGGAGACTCCACCAGGCTCCTGTAGGTGCCAGTTGGGCTGGACAGGGCAGCGCCAGCCCTGATGCTGGATGCACAACAGACCCGCAGCCTGCTAACAGCATTCTGAGCAGCTTTGCTCTGTGCAGCTTGAAGCCTGGTTCCTGGGAGCCCCAAGCTTCCTCAGTCGCTGTCCTGATCTTCCATGTGTTAGAGGACATGGGTTAGGAGCAGCTCGGGGAGGCGAGATGAGGCGGGCACAGGCAAACCCCAGTGTGTGCCCTTGAGCCATGCCTCGGGCCAGCTCGCTGTCACGGACACCAGGGAGGACAGGCACAAAACCCCTGCACTCTCCAGACACCAGCACCAGCAGGGCTTTAAGAATCCCAGAGGACACACATGCCAGACACTTGCTCAAGAAACTGCGCTTTCCCAGCTCTCACTCTCCCCAGAGTGCTCCGCTGTGTGCAGGGGGACAGGCACTGCGCGCTGGTCATGTCTTCCACATGGCAGCCACCAGCCCCTCACAGCCCTTAGCCCTGCCTGGCTTCCATGACAGTCCCCACAGACCAGCACAGTGAGTCCCACTTCCCATGCCCAGGGTCCCTGGCAGTCCAGAGCCTGGAGGAGACAGAAGTGAGGGGACAGCTGGGAGGGCGCTGCTGCCTCTCCACTCCCGGCTCCACTCACGCCTCTGCTCCCCGGGTACATCCTCACCCTGGCCTCAGCCACTCACCTGGCTTGCTGGCACACACAGCAGACCCAGGCCTTCTCGTGCTTGAGGAAGGAGCTGCAGCCCTTGCAGACGTTGAAACTGCAGTCCCTGCAGCAGCGCCGGGTGTTGACAAGGAAGGTGAAGGGCGCGCAGCAGCGCATGCAGCAATGCTCCACGAACTTCTGGTGCTTGGCGAGGATGCTGCACTTGCTGCCCTCCTCCTCCAGCTTCCGCTTCATCTCACTGGGACCCGGAAGGCAAGAAGGGAACAGCACATCAGGTGGGGGCTGGGCCCCAGCCCCTGCCCACACCCACAGCCACCAGGCCTGCAGAGGGCCTGGAGAGGAGCCCTCACTGGTTGGTGGTGTGATTCTGGGCCTCTCAGCCCAAGGAAAGCTCAGAGAACACACAGAGATGCACATATCAGAAAGCCTAGCTCGTCCTGGAACACCAAAACTTCTGCTTCATTATACCATTGGAAAGGAGCAGATTACTTGTGATAAAATCTGAGTCCTCCTCAGCCCGGCTGGGCATCTCACATTGCCCTGCTTCACTAAATCCCAAGGTGGATGCCCTGGGGCTTGGAGCATTTCCAAGTCCAGGTGAGTCAGGGTAGGTTCACAGGGGACAGGGCACTGGAAAAAAACCACCCAGGGCCTCTGAACAGAGTCACAACACCACACTGGACGCAATGGCTCTGGGGACCCCAAGAACCAGGAAAGACCCCACACAGGCAGGGGACATGGGAACCACTGACTGAAAGTCACCAGGCTCCTCAAAGTTGGCAAGTTTGGGTTTCTCATCCTACTGCAAAAGCAATGGGGTTGACAATAATGGAAGTGTTTCTCTGCTACGATCCTGATGTTACTCCTGCCGAGCTGTCGTGACGGCACTCCTATTGGTGCTGCCAGGACCCTCCTACTGCAATCACTTACTACTGTGACTCTCCTGCACTCAGTCTGTGACTACGCAGTCCACGCTGGATGTGTAGGTGATGCACGTGGCAAACATTTTCTCCCAACTATGGCCTTTCTCTACACTTACGCTGCTTCTGGCCATTGAGAGGTATTTGAGTTCTCTGCAGTTGAATCCTACTGTCTTTGTTTCATGACCCCAGGCTCTGTCATCTTTTGGGAAGCCCTGTACCCACACTGTTTGTACATGCTCAGTCGGGGCTCTGGAGGGCTGTGCCCACACCCTGCTCCTGGGCTCTGTCAGTGGGGTCAGACTCAGAAACTGGGTCTTTGGAGATGTACCTGTTAAGAGTCTGAACTTCCCTGGGCTGCTCAGGGGCTCCACACCTAATGACAAGTGTCCTGATAGAGGCACACAGAGAAGATAGAGGCAGAGATGGCATCCACGGCCACAGGCAAGGACACCTCAGTTTGCCAGCAGCCACCAAAAGCCAGGGACAGCAGTATGGAAAGGCTCTCTGAGCTGAGAAGGGGCCAGGTCTTCACCCTCACTGCAGGCTGACTCCAGAGCAACCAGGTAACACACTTCTTCTGCTTTCAGTCACCTCTTTGTGGCAATTAGTATGAGCAGCTGGAGGAAACTAGTCTAGCTCCCACGTAAAAGGAAGGCAGGGAAGGAGGGAGGGAGGAAGGAGAGAGAGAGGAGGAAGGGAGGAGGGAGGAGGGAAGGAAGAGGGAGGGAGGAGGAAGGGAGGAAAGAAAGAGAGGGAAAGAGGAGGGAGGGAGGAGGGAGGAGGGAGAGGGCAGAAGGGAAAGTACAAAACACAGGCTTTCCTCATTCTGCACCCCTATTGCTTGTTTTCTAACTCATATATCTAGGGCACTAAAACTCAGTGTGTCACTTTTGCTGTACAGGTTTGAATTAGGGCATTTTTATTGCCATGTAGTCTTACATATTTTATAATTCTTAAGTCTAAACTTTCCATGATTTTTGTTATTGAATTTTATTTTATTTATTTACATTTTGATCAGAGAAGAAAGTCTATAAGAACAAATTCCTTGGTATTGAGACTCATTGCAGTGAGGTGCTGGCGGCTTTCATGAAGTCCTGTGTGTGTGAGCGGAGTGCTTATGAGAAAAGGACGCTGGGTTTGCCTGTGCCACGCCATTCCCGAGACTCTCACTGTGTAAGTGAGGTGCACCCACTTGGACACTCTCCCTGCCTTCTTCACCCCAAAGATGCTTTTTGCCTTGAAGTCCACCTGTATGGTTTTTATGGCCCACACTAGCTTTTTAAAAAAATTGCCAGTGTGTGCCTCAGTGCGACTTTTCACATCCTTCACGTCAATACTTGTGTCACTGTGTTTCAGATGTGGAGCTTGTAAGTACCACAAATCAGAATTTCTTACTGTCACCCAATATGAGAGGTGATATACCATAGAAATTTAAGTAACTCCCATTGAGATTACTAATATATCTGGGTTTATTTTTACTACGTATCTTGGTCTTTCTGTTCATCATGTTTTATGTTTTCTCCTGCTTTCTACCAGACTGCTTTCTTTCATTTGCCTTGCTGTGATTTTATATTTTTACTTCTTTTATTGTTCACTGGTAACAAACCACCATGTACACAGTACTTGGAGGAATTTCTGGAGTTGACAACTAAATTCCCTCTGGTGTCTGGTGCTATTATTGAGAGCATTTTGGTTCACCTTTGGTTTTTGACTATAAGAATTCTTTTTTTTTTTCTTGAAGAAATACTTTTTTATCTTTATTTTTTATGAGCAAAATATATTTATTGGTGGGAAAGAAAGCTTCTGTCCAAGAGAAGGACAGGAGAAGGGCTTGAGGGGTTTGTCCCCTAATATTTTTTAAAGGGAATAAAAAATAGTAAAATAAAAAAAAATTAGAAATGATACGTTTATCTTAAGCTTTCCTAATTTAAACTCTGCAATGACTGACTTTGGGTCTGGTGTTCAGTGGTGAAAAACAATAGCAGTCATCGGAATGCATAGGTGGGATATGGTTACTGCGGTGGGCTGCACCACCCGTGACGGGCAGTTTCTCAGCAGGGCTGCAGGGTGCTCCAGCTGCTAAATCTTCCTACTCTCTGGTACCCTGCCCATTTTCTCCTGTAACGACGATGTTAAGGATGCCCATCACAACTGTTACATTGATCTTGTATCTGTCATCTGATTTTACTGTCCAAAGGTAATGGTCACAGGTAGAGTCCCCAGAGTTAAATGCAGGTGCTGTTCTAAAGTGTTTTTTGTACTGAATAACATAGCAGCATAGACAGTTACATTAGCTGTGAGAATTTCAATGTGCTTCAGAGAGATCAGTAAATAAAATAGTACACATGCAAAAAAAAAAAAAAAAAAAAAGGAAATGACACGGAATTTCACTAAACAAAATAATAGGAATTCAACAGGGATAATGCTTAATTTTTTTCTTCCTTAACTTTTTAAAAACGAACTTCGTATGCTTATGTCTGGTAATCTGAAGAATTATTCACATTGTCCATGGGAGTCATGCTACACTGTGGGCAGATGGGAGTGGGGTCTTGCAGATTAAAATCCCCAAAGCAAACCGGACTGGAGCTGCCTGCCTTCCCGAATCAGTGTCGCCCTTGCACCTCCAACACCCAGCTATGAATAGGGTAAGGTGACTGGGTCTTGAATATTCTTCACCCTAGGGAATCTGCCAAGCAAGTTTGACTGGCAGAACTGTGGCATGTTCTTCTGGTGCTGCCGTATAGGCCTGGCCATTAGGGCTGGGGATATAACTAAGCAGCATAAGCACCTGCCCAGCAAGCATGAGGTACCGAGTTCGATCCCTAGACCACAAAAACCAAAACAGCAGCAGCAAGAACAACAAAATCTGGCTGTGTCTGCCAGACTCTTTGCTTGTCCCATTTTTTGCTTCTGTTACTTTCTTTGTGGCTGAAGTTTTGTTGTCAGCGCTTTCACCAAGTTACACAGCAGCAGGTGCTGGGTTTTACTCAGGTCCAAATAGTAGTCTACAGGGGTGCAACCAGATCATGTCGAAGGTATTATTTATTATCACTCTTCTATGTTTATTATAATTACTGGCATTAAATGTTGTAATAAGAAATATAACTTAGTACGAAATCTAATTTTTCTTACTGGTCACTTTTAAAACATAAATCCTCACCTCTTCCATCCCCTTGGGACACCCCATACCACTCTGCATCTCCTCCCCAACCCCGTCCGCTGAGTAGGAATTTCTGCCATGTTCCAGGAACCCCAAGATCCAGTTCTAGCCCAAGGCCAGTGAATGTGTGGGAGAGCTTCTGGCTACCCTGTGCTGGCAGGACCTACTGGTCCCAGTCTAGGTGCAGCATGGGTGAGACCCTCTTTCAACTTCTTGGGACGCCCCCATCACTCTGTAGTACCCCCACCCTGCTCACAAGAAGGAATTTCTGTCACGTTCCGGGAACCCCCAGATCCAGTCCTAGCCTAGGCCTGGTGAGTGTGTGGGAGAGGTGCCTCTCCCCCCTACTCTACCTTGTCCCTCCCAGACTCAGCTCAGGCCTGGCATACAGGCCTGGGGTGAAACCCATCAGCTGCAATCCCTGCAGAGAGTGTAGGGGACAGAACCAACCAGCTAGTCCAGGAGCAGAACATCTTGCCAGAGGGGCACAACAGGCTCATCCCCAAGGGCAGCAACAGGAAGAAACTGAACATAGCAGCCAGACCCAAACCAGGCACAACTGGACATATCAGAACTTTGTAGATCTGC